TTAAATTTTTCTTGTTTATCTGGCAGATTATTTTCCGACAATACTTCGCTAACCTTTTACATTATTCTTTTTAACAATTATCGGGATACTTTATTCTTTTAAGGTGTAGCGATTCCTAACTGGGTTGTGGGGTCTTCCCCCCCTTTTTCTCGGTGCGGACTTACTTTTTTCCGCTTGGGAAGCGCAAGTGTGCGCGAGTTTTCTACGGCGCTTTTCTTTCGTTGGGGAGTTGGTTTTTCTTCTATTTTTAAGTTACTAAGGTGAATGGTGAGGAAACTTCGTCCTAACAAAACATAAGCCCCAAACAAAAATAGAATAATAAGCAAAATAAAAGTAAATAAAAATAACGTTCGGACTTGGTTCCTTACAATGCTGTGTAATAACTTATGACAAATTTATTTTCTACATCTAGTTTGCTTGCTTCTTATAAATAAAGTAAATTAAAATATAGTTTATTTTTTATAGTGAGTGAAAATGAAATTAAATTTAGGAAGAATTAGACAGAATTAAGAATCATACTTGAGAATGATTTCTGTATGTGGAATGATCAAATTAAAACTAAACAATTAAAAGTAAGAAATATAGTGTGTACATTTCACTTGCAGAAAATGATCAAATTACCAACAAAGATGATGATGATGATATTTAATTGTCTAATCTTCCTGGCAAACAGATTATTTCTTTAGCTACAATTAATAAAGGTATTTCATCAGAGATGAAATAACTTCATTACCCAGCAAAGAAATTATATAAAATAAATGTATTCCAGCAAAGAAGGTAAAAGTGTGGTAATTGTGTTATGAGGATCTACCAAAAAAAGACAATACAATACCTTTCAAAACTATTCACATAAACTATCTGTTGCTAATGTTTTTCATAATACTGATGAAATATTCTTAGATAACAATGCCATATATTTATTAACAACAGAAACTGTGACTTATGCAGCCCAGTCTGGTAACTCTAGTTAACACTATCAACTGATGAGATGAGAACATTCATTTGAATTTTATTACTCTGAATATTGCAGTATGTCATGGCAGACTATATTGGTCCACTAAGATACATACACACAATGAACCGGTAACAAATTCAATATGTCTAAATACATTGAATTTGCTACCATATTTGAAGAGATGATGGAGTATTCTCATGCTGCAGATAATTTCAAACTCTGCCAGGATGACAGGTTTACAAAGGTATGTTCATTCTTGAATATTTTGAATAGAAACATTCCCTCTTATGACATTGTTTTTGAACCATTAATTGATGAGCTGATGAATTCATACTATAGATGGCATTTAACTAAATTTATATATAAAATAATTAATTCAGAACACTGCCAAAAGACAGAGAACACTTTCTGGATACAGAGTCCAATATCCTACTTGTCAGATGAAGTGATAATGTATGGTATTTATTGCTTTCTATAAAAAAAAGTGGATACACTGCAGGAGTGATATACTACAGGGAGTGATACACTGCAGGAAAAAATTCTATGACATATGTAATTATTATTTATGAACATATGTGAATGAATTAAAAACATCTCCCATTACAAAACTGAATTTGTGATAAGAAATGATACTCTCCAGTACCGTTTTTCTGTTCTGTAAATGTCCAGTACTGTAAATGTTTATGTAAACAATGCTTGGCATTTTTCTTGAAAAGACATATGAAAAAGATATGCTGTCATTCATGTGGTGATTTGTGTAATGTTGGCTAAAGAAATATGGAAATTTTCCAAAAACTCCAGGTAAATTATGTAATTTGTGTATTAACACTATGAATACAGAGATGTTCTGACAAAGTGAGTCATGATTTTGTGTAAAGTGAATTAAAAAAAAAAGTTGAAGATGCAAAACAATGCCATAGTCAAACAATATATATTTGTAAAAAGTGTAAAGTTCCTTTGCATTTATCTCATAGGATAAAACAAAAAATATGACTGAAAGTACTGTATTCTTTCATCAATTATTAATTCCTTATATGAAGCATGCAATGCCATAATGTTGTAAATACCATTTTTCTCTAAATACAGTTTATTGAAGAATTGAGTTTTAAACGCAATGTTTTCTGCTGCAAAAAATATTATGGCAATATTAGCACTGTAAGTGGCTGTATTTTAAAGTTGAATATATGTGAAGTCATAACATTTAAAGCACCAAAGTGCAAGTGACATGACTTTTGGTACCTAAAAACACTACAGCTTATATTTATATCATTTTGATATTCCAAAGAATTTGTAACCTAGTGAGTTTTTTACTATTTTATTGTAAAATTAAAATGAATTCATTCACTAGATTTTTACCACTCCTGAAAAGTTTGTTTTTTTGGTATTTACAACATTATGACATTGCATGCTTCATATATGCTTTATATAATAATTATTTCTTTCTGTTAGCTAACTTTTGTATTCATGGATTTAATAAAGAAAATTGTATTTTTCTTTCCTTGTCATATTCTTTCCAAACTCTGCCCTACTGGAAAATTTGTGCAGACATCCACGCCTGTATGCCTGCCATGCATTTTGTCCAACTGCAGTATCATGTGGGATGCCCAGTAATGCATTCATGCAACAACAAATTTCTAGCATTATTATGAACAATACATTAAAAATATAAATTTAAGCACTACATATGATCTATTTGCATCATTACTCATAACATGTGTGACTGTCACAAAAACTTTCTCGACATATTTGGCTTAATAATTTAATATTTCATTATTTATAATTTAGACAGCTTTTCAATCTTCAATTAAACAAATGTATCAAGAAATAATAAGTCAATTAAACTAATTTTGCATTTCAAGTAATAATTATAATTCACTTTAATTTGGAGACAGATACTTATTTGTAACCTATTTGTAAATTAAATACATCCTAAATTTTTTATTGATCAATCTAACAATAATGGTAGAAATTGGAAAAGAAAAAGAGAGAGAAAGAAATTCCTCTTACATTAAATAATAAAAATCTTTATAATTTCAATGTCGCTTGCTCTCTCTTCAATAACAAAGCAAAAAATATTATTACATCATATTTTCTCCACAATATTAAATAAAATTTTGTTATGCTATTTTTTTTACAATTTTTATATTATATTAAAATAAATAGGATACATTTTTAAATTTTTATAACAGGTTTAACGTTAATTCTTATTAACATTCAAGCATTTTAAATATTTTATTAAATATTTTACAAATACATAGAGAGAATATTTGATATACAAAATATATATCCATTAACATTTAATAAAATATACAAAATATTTATCCATTAACATTTAAATTGAATGAATGATCAATGAAGCAAAATTCTCTTAATTTTTTAATATAGTTATAATTGCATTGTAAAATTTTAAAAATTTTAAAATAGTTAAAGGTTAAAGTAACAAAAAGCAAAAGATTAACATATTTCTATACATAAATAATACAAAACATGTATGAAAACATAGCCTCTATAAAAATAAACTTGTCTAAACAGAAAACTCTCAGAACAGAATGATTTGCTATGTAAAATGCTATAAGAAGTTGGAAACCTGTCTAACATGAAAATGGAATACTTTTTGCATATCAATTACTTAATATAAACTGAGTAAAGTGGAATCAAAATTTAATTTTATGGAAACAGAATTCTAAATTATAATTAAAGCACATTCCAAAGGTACTGATATTTTACACACACTTTTTTTTCTTCCAAGTACCAAATTTTAGTGCTGAAAACTCTAAAACGTATGTTTTTGAAGCATAATCAAAGGATAAGCAGATTTACATAACGATAACTTTCAACATTTTTTAAACTTTTCTTTTTTCTACATCAATAAAAATATAACAGCAGAAACCTGTCAAAATGAAAGAGTCTAACCAGTACTATCACGTTCCATTTTATGCAAGTTTTACTGTATACAATTATTCTTAAATATTTCTATTCTCTTATATATCATATTGCATTTTAACATTTATAATAATCTCTCTCTTCATGATTATTATATTAACATATCTGATTAACTTTTTTCTATTTCAAACACAAACATTGAACCAATTTACGGTGTGGAACGATCGACTAATCATAAAAAACAAACGTTTTCGAACCCCTTCTGGGCTCTTCATCAGGTTTTAGCTCGTAAATTCGATTGACGAATGTTGTTCAAATAACTTCGTTCCTGCGATCAAATTTACGAGCTAAAACCTGATGAAGAGCCCAGAAGGGGTTCGAAAACGTTTGTTTTTTATGATTAGTCGATCGTTCCACACTGTAAATTGGTTCAGTGTTTGTGTTTGATATATAGGTATGGTGAGTAGTGAGTTTTTTTTTTCTATTTCTTTAAAAATGTTGAGAGTAACTTCAATATAATTCAGATATAAAAACTATTATAACTTTCTTTTAATAACAAAGCCATATACCAATATATTCTAACACTAATTAATAAAAATAATGAAATGGATACTCATTAATACTTTAACACCAATAAGCGACATTGTATTCTTGTTACGGTTTGTTTTAACAATGGAATTTCACGTACAGACATAATATTTTATACTTAAATTTCGATACTCACATGAACATCAAGAAATGCACGACTACAGTCAAACTTGATGAATATTATAGAAATTATATATTTATTTTATTTTGATATCAATATGCATAATGACGAGGAAAATAACTGATTGCCTATCATTAATATTTTCATATAATTATTTATGTAATATTAACACCAATGATGACATTAAATAATGTAATTAATACCAAATTATAATTTGTTACTTGATTGTTAATACATTTTAGGTTACATTAATTATCAGCACAAATAATATTAATTAAATACAGACTTAATATAGAGGAAAATTGAATATCAGAGCGATATTATCTCAATATAATCTCAAAATCGATTTTTAAGGCGAAATCTAATAGAGTGGAATATAAGACAATGTTGAATCAGTCAATTACAAAAGTTTAAGTAAACATACCCTTGACATGGAAAACTAAATTTACTTACCAAACGCAAAGACGAATTCCACACATATAATTAATAAAATAAAAACAAGCAAAGTTTTCAGTATCATTTCTAATTTTGAATCACTTTTATTTGATGACACGTGATTTATTCATTATATTATAAAACTTAAAAGTGTAAAATGCAAATATAAACACATCACGATTGAAGCCACCTACATCCCACTCCAATAAACACAAGCTTAGCTAGAATCAAGTGGTGTTGCCAGAACAGCTAAGAATATATTTCATTAAAAAAAATCCTTAATAATTCCGTAAATTTTGAATATATTATTTTATAAATTCCTTAAAATAGTGATAAAGAAATAATCACTGATAAAGATAATAAATTTGTAATTTGATATCGTTATCGTTATTCATCGTTATCTAATGTACTACAGTTCATACAAAGGCGCCCACCAGTTGCCAAGCGGTCTTCGTACCCTGAACGCTGGGAGTTCGGTCGTGGGTTCGCGCCTCGCCAGGACGGGCTAGCCAAGTGGAGTTTTCCGGTTTTTCTCCACGTCTGTAACGTCTAAATAGAGGCCAATTTCCCTTAAAAAGACCTCCCGGAAGGCATCCGCCCTAGGCAGATCGCTCAAGTGTTGCGTTGCCATAACATAAAGTGCAAAGGCGACAGCCTTACCGCTCTGGGGGACCCGAGATCGTATCCGAACGGGTCGAAATTTCCCAGGAACTTTTTGGGGTGGTCCGACAGAATATGTCGGTCCCCGGCAGCCCCATTGTGGCTGACCGAAACCATAATGAGTTTGCTAAAAAGAGGCCCTCTTAGTGCCTACATGGCGGAAAGAGTTAAAAAAAAAAATCTAATGTACAAAAGGGTATGTTATTGCAATAAAAACAACAATATTTCTATTAGAAATGTTATTGTTTTTAAATACATAATTTACTTATTGGCATTTATATTTAGAGTGTTATTACTTAATTATATATATCATCTGTATATCGTGCGTTAGAACCATAAGCGGCGAACTGTGAAACTATAATTTTCAAAAAAAAAAAAAGGATTCGAAAATTGAACAAATCAAAAATATTTAGGTAACAGTTTGTAATTTTACATATCTGTTTATAATCCCAAATAAATTGAATATAATGAGAATACTGTACTCTATTATTGAAAAACTGCGAGATTTACAGTTAGACGCTAGTGGATCTATACCTACGATATATTACTGTACACCTATCTCTCTTTTTGCGCGGTAGATACGTTCCAAAGAACGCCGAGTAAAACAAAAATTGTGTAAAAAAGTACAGTACATGCAACTTGTAAAACAAAATGTTTAATAGGATTCAAAACTTTAATAATGCGAAAAAATAAGCAATTTACAAAAGAAATACGAGTTTTTATATTCTAACATAACTTATCGTTAACATTATTTGTACGTAAATATAATAAATAAAAAGTAGCATAGAAAACAAAATCAATATACAATAGTCTCTGATGTATACAGTACTGTACAGTACATACACCAGTGCTTTGTGCTTAAAAGATAAATTAACTCTTGATTTCATTTAAAAAAGTAACTTTTTAACAATAATTCAATTTTAACAAAAATTTAAATTTAAAATTTATGGAATAAACTGTCTTTCCCATGTAAAAAAAATCAATCGCGTAAAAAACGAATTAGTTTCTTTTTGAACCGCGTTATTTCAAAATAGCGTAATAATATACCGCGTAAGAAAGAGATGTGTATATTAACCCTTCGTCTTGGATATTCAAACGTCTTTCCTTCATGATTATAACGAATTAGACTAGATCCATAACGAAATGGCCGATGGTAAGACGACATCTTACACACCAAATAATAATCTTATATAACCTAGTGATCATTTTTTGGTGGCAGAATTTGAGAATCTTTTTTCCGTTATTTTTAATTAAACGTCACTACATATTTATTTTTTACTCTTCCGCCTGTGGCACTAGAATGGCATTTTTTCAAGTCAATTGTGGGTTCGACAAGCCCCACAAGGAGGAGCCGGGTGGTAAGGAAAAGGACGTGATTGACGAAACCTGGACCAACACTCAAATTTATGTGAATGCTGATGACATCACAGTTGTTATCCATGGCAGCACTCCTACAAATCTGCATTAACACACAGCTACTTTCCTTCGTACCTTTGACAAATAGACAAACGTCAACCATGTCATATACTAACCTCACAAAAGTGCCATTCTCCCCATTTCTTTCAACCGCCATCAAAATCAAGATCATACAATCCAGAATCAACATCTGCGCAGCACTGTACCCAACCTCAAGGTGCTAAGTATCCATCTCTCGACTATCCTCACTTAACTCACTTAAGGTACGCACACAGAATATACGTTACTGTGAATGACCGAGAACTGGCGAACGTCAACATTCTCCGGTGAATGCCATCATCCACACAGTCGTTTCGTGCATGTACGAAATATTTGCTAAATATCATTAGTTTTAACTTACACCGGCAAATGTCGAAATTCAGCAAAATGGATAAGGTTGAATAAAAATATTTTTATTACGTTAAGATAAAAATGCAACTTTTAAATACAGTATGCCAAATTAGGAAAAAGCTTAAGTAACAGCACATGTAAATGAACTGTTGAACAAAATAATTCTTAACTGTATGCTACAAAACAATTTTATCGTTTATAGACTAAAGAGGGGTGGGCGAAAACTGTAAACTGCCGGGCTGCAATTTTTAATTATATTTCAAATTTACTTAATTTAAAATATGCGAAATTAGCAGTGGCTTGACCCTGTACATCATACTTTTCTTTTAACAATAGAGTCGTGCCGGTCACCTATCTAACTCCTTTTGGGGGAAAATTTTGCACTGAAATAACGTGACTTGCGGTTTACATCGGAATTCCTGTATATTTAATCGGGGCCTCCTTCCCCTGGGGTTTTCATATTTGATCTCGTCTCTCGTCTAGCTAAGTCCGTTCTCGAAACAAATGGAAGACAGCCAGACAGACGGCAACAGCGAGGATTTTCTAGGTTTACGTTTACAAATCGCAGCCCGATCACACCGCACATTTCGTCGACATGCAAATACAATAAGTGAAAGACCAATCGGGAAGTGAGAAATAAGACGAGGGACCAATCCGAAATGAAAACAGTGGGGAAAAAACTATAAAAATCGGAACTTCAAGGTCGAAAGAATGTCTCCTCCGGATTAAGCCTACAGTGGTGATTTAGATTGTGTTGTGCATCCGCCGATCACCGAGAAGGCCGCGACGTAACAACGAACTATTCTGCTTCGTCCAGATATCCTTCTCGTCCGCACGAACTTTCGCCGTTCCCAAAAGCACCGAGATTTTGAAATTGTCCATTATCGATGTAAGCAACGAATTCGAACAAATAAACGGGTTTTATCTTGTAAAACACTTGTACATCATTTGCTTCCTTCGCCACCTCCCACATGCGCGGTTTCTCTTAGGCTCATTCTGACGCGTGATAGACTTTATTTCCCCCTCAACGTCGGCAAAACTTACAATTTAAATGACGACATTCATTACTGGATGGCGAGATAAAGACGAAATGTAATTTCAGAAGGAAATCTAAGATGATTTATGGAAGAAACGATACACTTTTAAGAAATTAGTAGGAGGAAAACGTTGCAGACAGACCTGAAATAAATGTTTCAAAATTCGAAAAGCCGATTTCTAAATATACAGTTCAGAGTTGTAAAACACCAGCAATAAACGTGCAGAATTTTTAACAAAAGTCGAAGCTCAACAATGGAAAACTTTATGCTTGTTGCCGTATAGATTGTAAGACGTCCGAGCCACTTTGCTCGGCGGGGGAGGGTTCCGCGGGACAACTGCCTGCTCGTTGGGCGGATCCGGCGCCCTGCGCTGAACCCGCAGTTGGTCGATTACATCCGGATTTAAGATACGGATTCCGGTTCCGCCCTGCAGGCCCCTTTGGTAGCAGGGCCGCTCTCCGGGTCATATCCCGTTCTTGAGCCGCCCTACGGGCCCCCTTTGGGATTTTCGCTTTATCGGCGGCCCTGGGGCCCACTGGGACGTCCCGTTGGAAGAACCCCTTCGACCACAAATAAACCAAAAATAGATATAAACACACAAACGATGCACCGGACTGTGCCCCAGTCCGACGGTCAATTTTTTTTTTTTTACACATACACACGCTTCTCGCACTTGTCAGCCAATTTTTTTGGTCGACAACGACGTAACCCCTTTCCAACCCCCTAAAATCCCCATTTTTATTGTAAAAATCGTCATTTAACCTTCAACAATGCAAACGACAATGTATATCGTAACAATGATAACAATTGCTTAACGACAATAAAAAGACTAAATTGCTTCTTCTATTTCACAAATATATTTATTTATTTTTTCATTTTCGTGGCCAAATTATGCAAATATTATTACCGTGGACTTCCTTCTTTCACCATTTCTATGAAACCTTACTCTACTCGTTACATCTAAGTACTAAAATCTTATATAAAGTTTTTTATATAGCAGCGTTGACTGAAAATTGTATATACATTTTTCGCATAACACACACGGCATTTATAATTTAGGTAGCCCGAAATATTACAGGACATTTTTCATTAACATGCTACTATTAAACAAAATGGAAACTCTATAAAGTTATTGAAAAAACTTGAAAAGCAAAATGCGTGGTTCGTCAAGAACTGCTTCGCTTCTCAAACGGTTTTTGGATATTTTAAACTTTCCTATAGTTTATAAAAGCTTTCGTTACGTTAATATAACTTATATATTGATTGTGGTGATTACTCTTCTATCGCCTACTTTTTTTAGATTGTGTTTCGGCAATTGCGACTCTACTAAGCCCGCATTTTACTTGTATTCCGAATAAGCAATATTTCTCTCTCCGATGTTAGCTATGTATGGATTATAATATAGTGCGATGGAAAAGTGTTTTTGCAGCAGCTAAGACGTCATAATTTACATTGTGTCTTTGGACGCGCCACGTCGTTATTTCGTTGGTGGAAGCGCCTTTCGTTTCCCGGACGAACTTTAAATCGCACAATGTCTATTAAATGTTATAACCATAAGATTTACGTTGATTTTTGTTTATTTCTTTATATGTGGTTCAATTCAATGGTTTTGAGTAAAGGCTGTTTCTCACTTATGGAAAAATCCGTACAAAGAATTTTGAGAAATTTTTCTTTTCCTTACCAGTGCAGAAAATCCTGTCGACCAACTTCTAACTTTTCAATGTTATTGTT